CTGTAGAGACCGGTCTGGATCTCTGGATTTTTCTCTGGTCATAACCTAGATCCAGAGTCCAGAATAACTTTTTTATAATCTTTTCAAAGGATAACACACTTTTCACAAAAATTATTATTTTTTATTTTTAAGCTCCACTTGCATCTCAAATGGCACAAGTATTACAACGTGTTGGAAATACTGGCCATTTTGGTCAGCCGAATGTCTCCGCTCCAAATTCTTCAATGCCCGGATCTATTTTAGCCCCTGCAGGAACTTTTCCCCAAGCTTTTCTTCCACAAGGATTTCCTCAACGAGTGGCTGCTACTTCTGCTTCTATTTTAGGGGGTATTTCCCAATCTGGAGGTTCTATAGCTAATTCTAGTGCAGGTGGAAATAGAACGCCTGTGCAAATGCTTGATCTCTACTACAACTCGCTTTGCCAGCCTGCCTTTCCGAATATTACTGAGAATCCGGTTAGAGTTTTTTTGAATGTTTTTTTAGTCTTTCAATCCGTCCCCCGATTTAGCCTGAATATTAAAATTCCCTGCCTTATAACTTGATTAAAAATTTTTTTATAATTTTTAGGTTAATCCTCTAGGAATGTACCAACCTCATTATTTTCTTGAACAATATAATCAACAACTTTCCCAGCAGCAGCAACAACAACAGAGCTCTGGAGGGCAAGGCGGAGGGAATAATAATTCAAATGGTGGTGGACAATTCGGCTAATTTTTTAAAGAGAAAAAATTTTGACAAAAATTGAATTGGCCGATCGCTTAAATTTATATGAGAGGATTATTTGAGTCTTAAAAATATTTTTATAAACATGTCTTTTTTAAAGGATATTCAAATAAACAAGACTCAAATAACCTATTAAATATTTTCATTTTATATAGAATCTCCCACATTTTCACCGTGCTTTTCAACTTAATTTTAAACTGGGATTGGGGACCCTATTTTTATTCAACGATTTTCATTTTTGGCCAAAAATTCATCTACAATTATCTCTTTTTAATCCCTTATCTCAACAATTTTAGACTCGAAAAATTTGTTTCTACCAGATTTTGTCTCTCTCTTTTGTTTTCTTTTATTGTCCCCAAATTCTGGTTATTTTGTGATTTTTGAATTTTTGGAAAATAAATTTCTAAAAATTTAAAAAACAAAACATTAAATAATGTTTCATTTGTTTAATAAAGAGAGACAAGATTAGATACATACAAACATTTATATCCAAAAGGGCGCAACAATTGTTGTCTTTTCACCACCACGATTACCTTCATTTAATTTTTTTATTAAAAGGTGCATGCAGTTAAAACGCCTCATTTAAAAATAAAATATTTCAAAGAATTTGTACTTAAAATTTTCAATTTATTTTTTTATTTTAAAATAAAGAATTTTAAAAATAAATTATTTTAATTATGTAATAGAGAAAAGACAATGAAAATTAAATTAGAAAATATGTTGTTGGTGCCTCTAATTGATATGCCTGAATTTATTGAAGAATGTATTGAATTACTTAATGAGGTCCGTTAAAAATGTAAAATTTAGGAGGGGGGATTGTTAATTTGTTTAGTAGTAGATGATAGAAAAAATATACATATGTATGTACTTTGAAAAAATTTATTCGAAATGAAAGGAATTATTGTGAATTTCAACCCAATTATGTATTATTTTTACATACCGTATTTACTCGATTAATTTCCCTGGGGAATTATTTTTTCAACCCACCCATGGCTTGGGGAATTATTCAAGGGAGGGGAATTATTCAGGTTTTAAAATTTGAACGTGTTTTAGGGTATTTGGGGAGAGGGAGATTATTGTTGCAACTATTCCGTAGCAGGGGGAATTAATCGAGTAAACACGGTATACGTATTCTCTGTACATAGGAAATTTGGAAATTAAAATTTATACTTTTACAAAAAAATCCAGTAAAAATACCCCTTTTCAATATTTAATTAAAATTACTCTCAAATAATTCAGGAATGGCCTAAAAGTATTAACATTCGAAGGATTAGTATTCAAAAAACATTAAATAATAAAGTATATCTTTCTCTTTTTTTTAAAATTATTTAATAATTAAAAAGCCTCCATTATCAATTATTTTACTTGAAAAAGAAAATAAATTAATTGGACATGCCCGTTTATGTCCTTTACCTCAAAATGAAAATGGGTGTTGGATTGAGTCTGTGGTTATTTGGAAGAATTTAAGAGGAAAGGGATTTGGAAGAATTTTGATGGAAGGGATAGAGATGTATGCAAAAGAATTTGGATTTAAAGAGGTTTTTTGAAATTATTTTGAGGAAAAATTATTGAAAAATAAAGGTGTTTGTATTAATAGGACACTTTTGGTAGGTTAACACTTTTGGTAGGTCATCGAACCATTATTTCTCATTACACCACAGAGTATTTAACTCACAAATATATCCTATAATGAAATTTATAAGAATGTTTTTTTAAATGGATCTTGATAATTTTAAAATTATATTTTCCATTAGAAACTTCACTGAAACCCCCCTCCCAACTAAAATAAAAATAATTTTTTTTCATTCAGATTTTTCTTTCTACAACAGACAAAGCTAATTTCTACATTAAATGTGGATATTCCAAATGCCCTCCAATTCTAAATTTTGGTTCAAATTTTAAACTTTTTGAAATAAATGGATTATTAAAAAATTGTTTATTAATTAATAAAGAAGAAAATAATTTAAATAAAAATATTATTTTAACAGAAACCCCTTTATTTAATTCAATCCCTTCTCCACCCCCTCCTCTTCCCCCTCCTTTACCTAATTTTAACAAAAAAGATCAAAAAATTTATTTAACCAAAATTATTTAAAGAAAAATAAATTGATTTTCAACATATTTTTGTTTCAAAATTTAATTTATAATAAGAGCAAGGAAATTGAATTTTAATTATTTAGGCACATTTTCTTGTATATTAACAGGGATAAATTACTTTAAAAAATAATTTAAATTGGTTTAAATTGAAATAAAATGTCTAAAATAGAATATTTGTTTGACTTACAATTAAATATTCTTCAGAAATAATTTCCAGAAAAACCCTCCAAGGGAGATTTAGGTAATATTTAACCGGACAGACCCCCTTTTTACCTCCCCAATTTTCCTCTATATTTTTGCAAAATGGTTCCTATAACAAATATCAACTTAAAGAATTTCAAAATAATTTTCAAATTTTCCATTTGTGCCTTTAACAAAACGAAGGGGAATGATTTAAAAAAGAAAAACCTTTATTTATTTATTTAAACATTTCTCATCCCTTTATTTAGCCTTTTCTTCATCCTTCTCCTTAGTTCCATGTTTCAACATTCGAGTAAATTCCATATAATCAAAACGTCCATTCTTTATTGGAGCATCACGAAAAAGTTCATCAACCTAAAAATTTATTTTTTTTTTTCATTTTTTTTTCTCAAAAAAAACCTGTTCATCCGTATATCGATCCCCCATTGTAGTCAACAATTCTCGAAGTCTTTCTTCTGAAATAGTCCCGCTGTTGTCTTCGTCAAAGCATTGAAAAGCATTTTTTATAACCTTTAAATAAAAAAAAGATAAGAAAAAGTTTTTGGCTTCAAAATTGGAAAAATGGTAAAAAGATTATGTAAATTGTAAGAAAAAGAAAAATTCGGAGAAGGATTGCTATTTCCTTATGAAGATGTAAAGTTAATAGAAAAAATATTTTAAAGAAATTTTTACCCCCTTCCAATCATGGAAATTTTGGAAACAAAAACTATATAGTCCAGATAGGAATTTATATAAGAATTGGGGACTGGTCGGGTATGGGATTCAAATTAAACTTTCTAAACTCAGACTCATCAGCACATTCAATTACCTACTGACATTCTTTTTTAATACAAAAGAGTATTTCTTGCACATTTTCTCTAGGGACCGACCTTCTTAAATATTACTGGGACTGGCTATGAAAGCAACATTTGAACTAGACCTAGAAATTAGATTCTTTTGGGAAGTGTGTAGCTTTTTAATTATACAAGTATTTAAACCCGATAAAAATTCTAAACCCTATAAAAATTCTTAAATTCCAAAATTCAATTTCTCTAAATATAAAACCCTTCACAATACTTCTCTATTTCATGTCTAATTTTAAAAATCAATTTAACAAAAAAACCTCTTCTGGATCTGTCCCAGTCAATTTCTCTCCAAAAAGAGTCAAAAACATAGTAAAATTAATAGTTCCCGAGGCTTCATTAATCATTTCTTCAATAAATTTATCGCTAACATCCTTCCCCAAAGAAGCAAACATATCCTTCAAATCATGTTCATCAATAAAATTATCGTGATTTTGGTCGATCATATTAAAAGCTTCTTTAAATTCCTTCAAAAAATTTGTTTAAACTTTTAAAAATTCCAAAAAACTAAACCTGAATTTGTGCCTGGTCAAACATTGCAAAAACATTACTAGTTGCCCTTTGGGGTCTAGCTCTACGTGTAACTGTCTTCCGGGCTGCCATTTTTATATAGAAATTTAAATAAAGAAATTTTGTTTTCTAAAAAATTAATTTTTAAAAATAAAATTTTAAAAAATCAATTAATGTAAAAAGAAATAGTCAGATTAGCTATTAATTGAAAAAAAATTTTTAAATGAAATCTTAAAAATAAAAATCGGGAGCAAGAAAAATTTAACAAAAAAAATCTTTATAGACTTTTTTTACATCGACATAAAAATTTGTAATAAAAAATTAAAAGGAAAATGAGAATAAAATGACTCATATGTACATTTTTGTATTAACATTTTTTAAATAAAACAACACATACAAATATTTATTTATTTATGATTAAAGAGAATAAATTTAAAAAACAAAAATCTCTTCAATTCGTAAAATTCCAAAAATTTATTTTAAAAATTCAAAAAAGGGGGACAGAATGTGTATTGGATTATAAATATGTACATATTTATGGAGGATATTCCACTAAGCCGTAACATTTTTGGACATTTTATTAAGTCCACCCTCCTGTGTATCGAACCCTTTAATTCTTATTTTCATTTATGACAGTTTATTTTTTAGATGTTCATATAGAAAAATACTCGCTCCTGCATGAGTGAAAATAATATAAAACCAGAAAAGGAAATTTCCACAACGTCCACGCTTAAATTAAAAAAAATATTCTTTTTAAAAATTTCTAAAAACATCAAATACCCCAATAATTCGCTCTAATAATCTTCCAAATAATGGTTGTGTCATCATTCCTCCAATAAGAACTTTTTTGAATACAAAATAATACTGAAAAGTATTTTTATATTAGATAGGTATACATATACAAATTAGGGATGGAGACTTTTCAATTTTAAAAAGCGGAAGCGGATCCATCCCTGATACAGATGTAGTAAGTGAATCTACAATTTACTCGATAACTAATGTTATCAACCCTTATCAAACAAAAACTAATTACTTAACTGCATAAGCATGAAACAAATCAGAAAGTACAAAGACTACTTCTTGTGCCCAAAATTTAGTCCAGCCTAATTTAATTAAAGGTATATAAAGATGCCTTTTACACCATTGAGTAAATCTTTTATTCCAATTTCTCCAATAATCTAATATTGAATCAGAATTCCATACGGGACTGAAAATTGAATTGAAAAGAGTAAAAATAATAATTTTGATTAAAAAAATAAGGGAAGAATCTGTTTATATTTATGACACTTTTTTTCCTTTCGGCTGTAGTTTAGTCGAGGGCCCGCTCTAAACCGGGTCGAAACATATGTCATTCGATTCGTCTCGGCGAGCTGAGTCGAATGGTACCACTCCCTAAGTGCGGAAATGCCTACAAGCCGAGATATAGGTCCCTGAAATTTGAAAAACCATAGGGGGGAGTAAGCTGAATTTTGGGGTGAAAAATTCGATTTTTTGTATGATAGCTCATTCGAAAGAACTCCTCGAGCTGAGTCGAATGACACCAAAATCAGCTCTAGGTCTCAATTTTGAGCCGAGATGAAGAGGCTCAAAATGGTCTACACACATAGAGCGATTTTAGGGGTCAAAAATTTGAATATATAAATGATAGCTCATTCGAAAGAGCTCCTCGAGCTGAGTCGAATGACACCAAAATCAGCTCGACCGATGATTCTGAACAAAATTATGAACAACTTAACTTTCGCGCGAATAACTGTTTTTGTGCTGCTACGGAGGGTAGGTCGGCATTCAAGGCTGAGAATCGGTAAAAAGGAATAGGATTAAGTTACGAGCCCAGACCCAGCGCCCGTAGACTCCCCGCGAGGCGCGTGCCGCAAAACTCCGCGCGAAGCGCGGAGTTTTGCACAAGCGCCTCGCCGACGCTCCTTAGGTTTACGTTGACCTTTCGAGCCCTATATCTCGGCCCAAACTTGTCCGATCACAGTGATTTTGGTGTCATTCGACTCAGCTCGAGGAGCTCTTTCGAATGAGCTATCATACAAAAAATCGAATTTTTCACCCCAAAATTCAGCTTACTCCCCCCTATGGTTTTTCAAATTTCAAGGACCTATATCTCGGTCCACAGGCATTTCCGCACTTAGGGAGTGGTACCATTCGACTCAGCTCGCCGAGACTAATCGAATGACATATGTTTCGACCCGGTTTGGAGCGGGCCCTCGACTAAACTATATCCTTCCTTTCTTATTCTTCCATCTTCCTAGAAAAATGAGGAAGAAGTGCTCTTTTCTATATTCTTAAGTGTTGCCAAGAGAAAACACTAAGTATAATATCTTAGGATCCAATTCGGATAAAATTTTGTTGATCCATACCAAACTTGAAGAAATTCGATATTGCCTGCTTCCTTTTTCTACATTCTTATCAATACGAGGCTAACAAGGCAGAAATTAGACCTGCGAACTTCTAGCAGGTCCGATCTAGGACTGAGCTACTAAAGCGATTACTTTTATTTATATCTAGCATGAAGAAAAATGACTTGCGGATATATTTCCTTAACAATTATGTAATTAACGGTTATAGTTTACTTATCGACAAGTAAATTTTGGAAAAGAATTCCTTTCCAATTAAATTCCTTCCAATTAAATTTCATAATTCAAAAACAAAAATTACCCATAGAATTCCCTGTCAGAGAATTTCATTATTTCACCAAGTAAATTCAAATATGCATGAAAATAAATATAAAATCCAATCAAATAAATAACAGCCGTTGGAATACATAATTGAATAAGTGTTAAAAATTGATTCTGTTGTTCCATTTTTGCCAATATTGGATTAGAATACTTATGTAAAGCAATCATGACGTAAACAAGAGAAATAAACTAAGTAGGTAAATTAGGTTTAGAATTATTGTACTAATTATGCTCGTAAAAATTAATAAGTTTTAACCAACAAATAATTGCTTCCACATGGTATTATGGGAAAAATAGTGTTTTACATCCATTTAAAGGTTTACCATCAATTAGTTGATGGTATAGTTTCAGAAAGGGAAGGAGGACATTATTTAACTGGAGAATATCTGGCAATCTCTTTTTTGTTTAGGCTGATTTATAAGAATGTTTAAACACTAGGTATGTAAAAATTAAGACCCTTATGTCTCGAGAAACCTCACCTCAATTAAATGATTAAGAATTAAAGACCAACGCCTCTTTGGAATAACAGGATAATCCAATTCATAACAAAGAGTTGGCGCCATAATAAAATAATATAAATTTTTGACAGTTAAATTCTGTGGATATAATTCTAAATGATTTGCTGAAATTTCCAAAATAAATGGTGATAATTTGTTGTCTTTTGAAATTGGGTTAGTGACAGTATTGTTGTCCTGTGGAGATTCCTCTTCAGCAATTTCTTTGTTTTCGTTGTTACAAATATTTTCGTTAACATTTTCTTCTTCTTTTTCAGGCAATTTCTCCTTTAAACGGTCATCTTGAATATCCTCTTCAGCTAGTAATTTATCATCACCTGTATTTTTAATGACTGATAATTTAATTAAAAATCATTTCGAGGAATCGCTCATTAAAAATCGTTATTGCCAGACTTGGTAATGGACATGGATTTTGGTATCCGTATTCGGATATTTATGGCAGATACAGACGGATATCCGCAGGCATTTTGAACTTATCTGTATTCGTATCCATTACCAAGCCTGGTCATTACTTTATGTCTAAATTTATCGAAATACTTTCTTCTTAATAATCTATCAAAATTATTTAGGGAACCCCTTCCTTCCCATTTATCCCCTTTTATTTTTCAAATCTTTACATTTATTCTCTCTAGCTAATAACAAGTGCCGACAACAATAATTGACATGAGCATAAGAGAATAATTTCATCCCTTCAGTAACTAAACAGGCCACCGAAAAAGTCACAAAAAAGAAATTGTCCTTAAATTATTTTTAAAATTAAATACACAACTTGACAGACTTACTTTTGTTTTGAATAATACAAAAACAGGCAAAATTAAATGTATAACCAAAACCACCAAATAAAATAAAATAGCTAATTTAAACGGTATCCATCTCTTTGCTTTTAAAGAAAAAAAATGATTTTTTAGCTCTAGTGCAAGAGGACAAGTGTCTAATAGAAAATTTATAAGTTTCAAGAGAAATAAAATATAATTGTGGAATTCGTTAAGGACCTGGGGCGGGGGGGGGGGGCATAAACAAGTAGGTAAAAATAAATATTAGTTATTTTTAAATTAAAAATTGACACAGCAGGTGTTGAGAATCAACACTTAATTTAGATTAATTTACTATAGCCCCAAATCTTTTAAATTTCAATTTTTTATAAAATTATCAAAATTTACAAAGGAAAATCTCCAAAAAGTAAACACTCAAAATTGTTAAATTAGAGCTTAACAGAAGCAGAAAACTGTCTTTGGACTGAATTGAAGTATTCCATAAACTAATATAAATATATTGAAGTGTGTCTACTACTCCATAATTGAGTGAACTTTCCAAAATATTTTGAAGAATTAGAATAACCTAATTAATTATAAAAGTTTATATGTAAGTAAAAATAGAATAATTAAAGGAAATTCAGAAAATTATATGGAGTAAAATATAACTTTTTTTAGAAGAACCTTCAAGTAAGGTTCTTAGTTGCGTGTGACCATAAAAATTAAAAGAAAATTAACTTTGAAAAACGACTGGTTTGTCTGTAGATTGTGTAAAGAATTAATCCCTAAAGCTATGCAGGAGGTGGTGAGGTGTAATTGATATGTATATTAGTCTGGTTAATTAAAGATTCGAATGTTAAGAAAAGTTATTATGTATTAAAGAACCATAGGCCTCAAAAATTAGTAAAGGATATGAAAGTTTTTTGATTCGCTAATACATATGTCTTTCCTTCCTTCTTAAATATTTTTAATTTCTTACCACCAAAAATATAAAATAATTTCGAATTCCACTAAAATCCTTCCATTCTGAATTTTTGCTTAATAAAGAATTCTTTGTTGAATGAATATTGTAATTATTTTTAAATTTTTTATTTTCAATATTTGCGCTCATTTTATTTTAAATTTTATAAAGAATAAAAATTGTCAAGACAAATCAATAATATTGACAAAGAGAGAGGAATTTTTTGCCTCTTTATATTTTCCTTTTCTTGGTTGGAGTTTGTGGTTGTAGGGGTGTGCCATTTCCGTTTTTAAAAATTAATCTCGATATACACCTTTTGTATGCTCTTTGACACTTGAAAATAAAATTAATTAAATAAAATTATCAAAAGGTGGCCAGATATCATTTCCGGACACCCAATTTTCAAAAAAAACTTTTGATATCTAAATAAATAAAAACTTTCCAAATTTTGAATAAACATTAAATATAAATGCTAGCAAAAATATTTTTTAAAAATTTTAGGAAAATATGATAAGGTGAAACCAATTTACACCTATTTTTGTTCATATTCATATCATTTCCGGACAAACTTCCGGACAAAATTTTAAATTCCAAATATGAAAAGATAAAAATAAAATAATTAAATAAAATATTTATTTATTTTTCAATGATTAATTAAAGGTAAAAAATTTTGGGAAAGAATTCCAAATAGATTTTTCTATAATATTCGGGAATAAAAAGAAACTTTAATAGAAACTTTATAATTTAATGATAAAACCCAATAAAATGTAGGAAATTTAAAAAGTTAGCTTCAATTTTTGATTTAATTTCAATTTCTTTATTGTCAAAAAATAGAATCCAAAATTTTTTTCAGAAGTATTAATGTTGTCAGTTAAATTAATAAATTAAAAGACAAACAAATCTTTACTTAATTTTTTGTGTTTAAACAAAAAAAAAACAAATTTTTTTCAACTTTATAAAAATTTGTTATAAAAAATTGAGAGAGGAATGAAATTAAAATGATTCATAGAAAAATTTGTGTTAATGTTTAAATTGACTTTTTTTTAAATAAATAACACATTATTTATTTTAATAAAGATTTTATACATTGAATTAAATTTAATTTTTTTACTTTCAATTTTTTATATATCCCAGCATGATTTCTTGGAGAGAACATGATAATACTTTAACTACATAAACGATAGATATGTATACTATTCTAAGCAATTTTACATCAAAAAATATTCTTATAAAATTTAATTTTTTGGACTGACTCGGAATTGTCATTTTTCTTAAGTTTTTAATGTTTGTGATTGTGAAAAATCTTGGATTTATTTATTTTCATGTCAAAAAGTTAATCCATTTCCACCATTTTTCTTAACGGCAAAAATCACAAAAATTAAAACTTGAAAAAGAATGATCAGTTCAAAAAAATTAAGGAAATCCGGCAAAATTTCCGTATATAGCACTAATTTAATTATTTTATCCAATTTATCGAAGCTAATAATCCGTCTTTAAACTTCCCTCTCCTCAACTACATTTAATGTGTGACTAGTCTAAACAAAAACTGAACAGAAGCTCTTCTAAAAAATATTTCTTTTTCTTTCTATTCACATATCCAATCGAATGCTTTCGTTGATTTTATAAAAGTTTTCGTCACTTAAAAACAGCCGTTGTCAGCTAAAGTAAAAAGTGTAAAAAGAGAGAAGAGACAGTTCCTTTCTTTCTTTACACAATAAAAGATCTCCTCTTGTTTTCACATAAATACCAACCACAAAATATTTAAAAATCACTAATTGTAAACAAATTTTAGAACTTCAAATTTTATTCCATAAGTCCTTTAATTGTTCTTTTTACTAATAAACAAGTTAATTTAAATATATGTATTTCCACTTTGTCCCAGTCTCCAAGTCTAATGGAACTAAAAAATTTAAATATTTCAGAGATTTATAAAAATGCCCGGATTTAAACCTCCAGTCCAATCAAAATGCCCAAAATGTGGAAAGTCAGTTTATGCGGCAGAGAAAATGGTCGCTGGAGGATGTATTTTAGTAGATTATATAAAAATAATTTAAAATATTTTTAGATGATTGGCATAAATTTTGCTTCAAATGTGGTGGGAATTAAATTTATGAATAAATTATAGAAGACTGAAAAATATGTAGTTGGAAGAGGAGGAGAATAGGGAGGGGTATTCCCGCCTCGTGGCCGTTTTCCTGCGATTCACTTTTTTTTTTGGCTCTTCCCACCTTCTAATTTTTAAAATCTGAGTTTGCCCAGTCTCGCTACCTTTTTCACAAATTTTGAACAAAATTGCTCTATATACAGTAACAAATTCTAAAAAAATTGTTTAAAAAATTTTCTCATTTGGTCCTCGTGCCGGTTTTTAGAGCTTTGTAATAAAGCATTGGACTCTACAAACGTCTCTCCACATGAAGCCCAATTATTTTGTTGCAAATGTCATGGGAGAAAATATGGCCCGAAAGGTGTTGGGTTTGGTGTAGGAGGAGGTGTTTTAACGATGGATATGGGGGAACGATTTGGAAATCGAGAAGTGGAAATGACGTAAAGAAATAAATGTTTTTTGTTTGTATTTGAGAAGCATGCTTTCATTTAAAAAAACATTAAAGTTTAATTGAAGGAGATTCTCAGAAGGGAGAGCATACTTCAATTTAAATGAGAAACATGCTTCCGTGTTGTTCTTTCCAAAAATATTCCCTAACATTTCCTTTTAATTTTTATAATTTTCTATCCAAAATAACCTTTTCCCTCTATAAGGAATGTGCAACAAATTACTTGATTCAACTAATGCTTGTCCTCACGAAGCTGAACTTTTTTGCAAACAATGTCATGGACGTAAATTTGGACCGAAGGTTTAAAAATAGAAAATTTGGTCTCCCTTATAGTCTCCTTTATTATCTTTTAATTTCGGTTTGATTCGAAGGATTTTTTCTTAGCTAGTCTTATCCAAAATTATTTAAACTCCCTGTTCAACTCGAATTAGTTTAGAAGATATGAGAGAGGAACAAAATCTCATCTCCTAACTTTCATCTCCAACATATCCCAAGTCTCTCCCAGCAAGTCTCTCCCAATGCCTTGTATTTTTAAACACTAACAATTCCTTTAAAAACTTAACAAAAAACTTTTAAGGGTGTTGGCTTTGGACTTGGTGCTGGGTCATTAACAATGGACAGTGGAGAACGTTTTGGTGGAAAAAGCGGAGAGTAATGAATACTTTTCTTTAACAAATTTTCCTTTTTAAAAATAATCTTTTCCCTTATTTTTAAATTTTCTTTAAAAAATAAATAAAAATTAAATTTTTAGTAACAGAACATTAACTGCTGAAGCTTTCACTGCTCCAATCAATCCACAACAGCGTTAAAAAGGAAAAAGCCAGAAAAGAAAGAGAATTAAAAATTAAAAGGGACACTTTTCTCTAATTAAAATATAATTTTCTTTTGTATTTTAAATAAAAATAAAAATCAACAATTTATTTATTTTCTCTCTAAAATATTTTTACTTGAAAGGAAAAAAACTTTAAATTTTACACAAAAATATTATCCCTAAAAATATTCCTCCAAACTATTCCTTTTCTTATATTTTATATTACCTCTCTACAATTCTTATCCAAAATGTTCGTAACCAGGCATTTTAGTGTAGCCGTAATCCTTGTACCTAAAGAAATTTTTTAGAGATTTTTTGATCTTTCTTTTTTTAAATTTGAGAAAACACTCTTTCAAGAAATTCCTTATTTAAAATTAATGGAAAATTACTCGAAATAAGGAAATCCCATCCTAATTTATGTCGTTAAATTCATCCTTACAGTTATGTAAAGCTAAAAAAATATAAACAAAAATTGTAATCTTATTGGATATCAAAACTCATCACATAATTTTCCAAAAAGTTTTATCCAATTAATAGCTTTTATATAAATTTATACTTACCACTTTTTCTCCCAATATTCCTCTGAAGCCGGATGGAAATATTCTGGCTTGTCATAACCCAAATCCTCAGGAGTAGGAATACCCAATTCATCAAGAACTGGCTGCACCTAAAAATAATTTTTTAAACCATTTAAGAAACATCAATCAACAATTCAGAGTTGGACAGATTTTCCACAGAAACTTATCCACTTTAATTACACCCACAATTTATTTGCAAGCTCAAAATGGTCAAAGTAACCCTATTAGTACCCAAATCAGAAAAAAAATATTTTTATAAAAAACCTCTTGAATAATATACGGGTAAACCAATTTCCGAGTTTTTTCACTTCCACATTTAAGTTTAACATTCTCGAGAAAGCGAACAGCAAGAGAGAGATCATTCACACGACGACAAGCACGCAATCCAGCAGTAACGATTTTTGGGTCAGGAATAACGTCAAAATTGAAAAGTTCAGTAAAAGCTTAAAAAATTAATTAAATACATTTCTTATTAGAAAAGGAAACGATGGGAAAGGAAATGGCAATCATCATCAGGGTTAATACGATAAAAAAGGGTTTTAACTGTTTTGAACTCAAACTATGTTTTGAAATTCAAAAATAATCTAACATGAAAATAAATGGAGATGGGGAGCAAACCACCTTACCACCGCCCACTTTACCGCGAGAAGACTTTACCGCCACCAAAAATTTTTATTATTTTGGTGGGGGATGTTGTTCCAACGGGTGTACCCCAAGGAGAGGGGGGTGTTCTTTCGAATGACACCTCAATCGACCAGATCGGTCAAGCTAAAAAACCCCTATAAGTCACAATACCCGAAAATTTTCACTTATAGCGGGTTTTTAATGCGTGGACGGATATGGACGTATGAGGTGTCATTCGACTCAGCTCGACGAGCTTAGTCGAACTAGGGGTGGGAGAAGTTTGTCCGGTACCTAGGGGCCGAGATATAGGGGCTCAAAATGGTCAAAAATCGTAAGCGGCATAATAAATATGCAAATGATAGCTTATTCGAAAGAGCTCGACGAGCTGAGTCGAATGACACCAAAATCATCGTAATTGTACAAGTTTAGACAGAGTTACGATAGAAAAACAAAAACCTAAACCTATGGGGCGTCGGCGAGGCTATTATTTGGATAGTCGAATTTTTCAACCCAAAATGAGCTTACTCCCCCCTTCTCTTTTTAAATTTTCTGAAGTCTGTAACTCGGTACCTAGATACCGGACAAACTTCTCCCACCCCTAGTTCGACTCAGCTCGTCGAGCTGAGTCGAATGACACCTCATACGTCCATATCCATCCACGCATTAAAAACCCGCTATAAGTGAAGAGTACCCAATACCCGAACAGTAATTGTCTAAAACTTTATCAAAAAAACCCAAACCTTTACGAACTTCCCACCCATCAATCTCTGGACGACTCAAATAATCAATA